CCTCGACCGCGTCCTTTGTACCCCCGACTGGGAGGAACTGCATGGGGAGTGCCATCTCCAATGCCTCGCCTCCATTGTTTCCGATCACAGCCCATTGCTGCTTGATTGCAAACCGGTGCCGCCAGGTCATTGTCGTTTCCACTTTGAGGAATTCTGGACACGTTTGGATGGATTCCATGACATTGTGGCGGAAGCCTGGTACTCCACCATTCCAGCGACCCCTTCCGGCGGCTCATGCAGCGCATGCAAATCACCGCGCGCAAGCTCACTAGCTGGAGAATGCGAACTGTGGGCAACGTTCGCCTCAAGCTCGCTATCTCCAGAGAGCTCCTTCTCAGGCTGGACACGGCGCAGGAGAGCCGGCCCCTGTCCCCGCACGAAGACTGGCTTCGACGGCAGATCAAGGCCTCCTACCTCGGCCTTGCCTCTCTCGAGCGCACCATCGCCCGACAGCGCGCCCGCATCGCAACTCTAAAGGGCGGCGACGCCAGCACATCATTCTTCCACCGGCAATGCACGTATCGTCGGCAGAAGAATCGGATTCATTGCCTCACCGTGGACGGCGTCCCGATCTCCGCCCCCCGCGACATGGCGGCCGCGGCCTACGCACACTTTGATGCCCTGCTCGGCCACGAGACGCCCCGCGACTGCAGCCTCGACCTCTCCGAGCTGATCATGCCCACCAACCTCGACGACCTTGACACCCCCTTTGACGCCGAGGAAATTTGGAACGCGGTGAAGCGACTCCCCGCTCGCAAGGCTCCTGGCCCGGACGGCTTCACCGCCGAGTTCCTGTGTGCGTGCTGGCCCATTGTTCGGCAAGACTTCGTCGACGTTTTCCAGCAACTGTACGAGCTGCGCGATCGAGGCTTCTGCTCCCTCAACTAGGCCCTGCTCACCCTGCTACCGAAGCACGCGGACGCACGCGGCCTTGGCGACTTTAGGCCTATAAGCCTAATTCACCTCGTCGCCAAAATCTTCGCCAAGGTCCTCTCGCTCCGGCTCGCGCCGAAGCTCTGCAGCCTCGTCAGCACTTGCCAGAATGCCTTCATCCCTAGGCGCAGCTTGCACGACAACTTCATCCTCATGCGCCAGTCCGCGCGCCTCCTGCACCAGCTCGGGGCCCCTCGCGCCCTTCTGAAACTGGACCTGGCTCGTGCCTTCGACACCATCAGCTGGCCGTTCCTGTTCGAGGTCCTTCGGCAGTACGGCTTCGGCTACCGCTTCCTGGAATGGCTCGCCATCTTGCTCTCCTCGGCCAGCACGAAGGTGCTCATCAACGGAGACCCCGGCCCCACCATTTGGCACCGGTGTGGCCTTCGCCAGGGCGACCCAGTGTCCCCGCAACTGTTCGTCCTCGCCGTCGACACGCTCGGTCGCCTTCTACGCCGTGCCACAGAGCTGGGCGTCCTGCAGCGGTTGCACCCCCGGCGCCTGGTCCCCTCGGTCTCCCTCTACGCTGATGACGTGATCCTTTTCTGCCACCCCACCATCGGCGACATCACTGCCGTCAAGAGCATCCTGCTGCTCTTCGGCCGAGCTTCAGGCCTCCTCGTCAACTACAACAAAAGCTCTGCCACCTTGATCCGATGCACCGCTGATGATGTCGCGGCCGCTGTCAACCTGTTGGGCTGCCCCCTTGCCGAGCTCCCGATCACGTACCTGGGCATCCCACTGACTCTACATCGCCCGACGGCCGCGCAGCTGCAACCCGTCGTCGACAAAACGGCCGGCATGCTACCCACCTGGAAGGCGCATCTCATGAACAAAGCCGGCCGCCTTGCGTACGTCAAGGCCATCCTCAGCGCAATCCCGATCCACCAGCTCCTCGCCCCCGCGCCACCCAAGAAGACCATCCGCGCACTCGAGAAAATTCAGCGCGGCTTCCTGTGGGCTGGACGCGCAGAGGCAAACAGAGGCCACTGCCATGTCAACTGGCAGCGTGTCGCTAGACCGCTCTCGCTCGGTGGCCTCGGCGTGCGCGACCTCGGCCGGACCAGCCTTGCGCTCCGCACCCGCTGGTTGTGGTTCAGCCGCACGGACAACACCAGAGCATGGGCAGGCCTCGACCTGCAGTTCACCGCCGAGGAGCGCTCATTCTTCTTCGCTTCTACCACCATGCAAATCGGGAACGACACGGAGGCCCTCTTCTGGGAAGATCGCTGGATCGACGGCCGCTCTATCTGCGAGATCGCGCCACTCCTTTACGCTTGCATCCCCAAGCGCCGCCGCAAGCTCAGGACCGTCGCCGATGGTCTCCAGGCCAACAAGTGGGCACGGGACATTCACGGCACGATCGGCATACACGAGATTGGGCAATACCTACAGCTCTGGCAGGCTATCAGCGCCACGACCCTCTCCGCCGAGCCAGATCGCCTCGCCTGGAAGTGGAGCACAAGCGGCGTCTACTCCGCCAAATCAGCCTACCTCGCCACTTTCAATGGCTCCATGGGCTGCGATGCATGGAAGCTCACCTGGAAGAATTGGGCACCACCGCGCGTCCGCTTCTTCCACTGGCTCGCCCGTCTGGACCGATGTTGGACTGCCGACCGCCTCGCCCGCCGCGGCCTGCAGCACCCCGCATGTTGCCTCCTCTGTGATCAGGCCCCCGAGACCATGCACCATCTCACCCTCGCCTGCCCCTTCACCAGGCAGATTTGGCATGAGGTTCTGCACTGGCTCAGGCTCCCCTGCGCCCCGCCCGACAGAGAGATCTCCCTCAACGACTGGTGGCGCACGGCGCGGCATGTCACCCCAATGCCCATGCGCAAGGGCCTCGCCTCCGCGACCCTCCTCGTCCCATGGATGATATGGAAGCACCGCAACGACTGCGTCTTCAACAGAGGCCAGCCCTTGACGACCGACCTGCTCACGAAGATCAAAGACGAGGCCATCCTCTGGGCCAGAGCCGGCGCCCTCGGGCTTCGTGCCATCTTGCCTCAAACCTGGGACGTGCACTGATATGCCCCCAGCCCCTGTAATTCCCTCCTAGGAGGATTGTAACCGAAACTCTCTTTCTTTCCAAAGCAATGAAATGCAAGCTCTTCTTGCGTTTTCTCGAAAAACTTGTCCACTTATATGTTCTACTTAAGTTTTGGAAGACTTTCATGTAATGCATCTGCCACATAGGGGAACAACAGTCCAAGAGAACTAGAATCCAGAGAAAGAGCTCTTTTCTAGCTCTCTGGATTTCATATGCTTCTATTACAGAGAATGAAAAAAAAATGTCTTGAAATGAGCTCCTATATGTCCGATAGTCCAAGAGAACTAGAATCCAGACTCCAGAGAAAGCAGTTCAGCATTGGAAATGATTAATTCTTGTTACGTTAGAATATATAGTTCTTTTCTTAGACAGAAGGTCGTCGCCTGTAAATGAAGCCCTTAAGAGGTCTTAAAACTGAGTTTCAGAATTCAGATAGGGCTGCGTAGGCCAGAGGCAGTAGCTCAAAAGCTAAGCTGAGACGGGCTGAAATAAAAAGGAAGATAAAAGCCAAGGGAGGGGCCGGCGCAAAGATCCACTAGCTAACCTGAGTCGACGACGCTTGCCACATCAGCAGCCACTCGAAGCGAAGCTGTTTGCGACCAGAGACTGGAGATGAGGTCAAGCATCGACGCATCCTGCTGCCTGCACAAAGGTCTCCATAGGTGCAAAAAGATGATCAATTTGTAGAAGGTGTCAGCTGGGTGTTTAAAAAAGATGCCCCCAATAAGGGCCTTGTTCCTAATGTTCCAGAGTGGCCAAGCAGAGCGGCGAAACTGAGCCAAGTAACCCGACGAGCTTTCCCGGATAACCCCTTGCCTAACATGCAAAGTCCACAGGTGACCACTTGGACCTGATTGCATCCCTAACAAACCTAAAGAAGATGTGATCCACATACTCATCTTCACCAGATCAGGCACATTTCCCATCCCCAGGGCCGTGGTGCTTGAGGACCTGGTCTGCACTGGGAAGCCTTCCCCTAACCAGTTGCCAGAGAAAATTTCCCGAGTTTTATTGCAGTAGAGTACCTCTTTCCAGAGAGCCCACCCTTGGTCGCCAACGCGGTCACCAGTTGGCACGCAGGAAGTGAGAGCAACGGTCATTTTCCCTTAAGATAGTTCTTTGGACAATGTGTCTTAAGATATCTTTTTAGTATATACCTTAAAATTCTTACTCTTTGTTCCGCGCCTCTTGTTGAGTGGAAGCCATGTTTACACCTTGCCTCTTACAAGGGGGGTGGGTGGGAATGAAACAGGATATCTAGAACAACAAAATTACAATTTCTTTTTTTTTTGTGGAAAAACAAAATTACAATTTCACTCTAGCTCTTTCTTGTTTTTGTAATGGAACTATTAACAATATCTTCACCCTAGCTTGTTTTGCAACAAGAACTATAATAAACTAGCCCGTCTCCATGTAATTTTGTTGTGAAACTTAATAGACTAGCACTTCCTTTCGTGTTTGTGTGCCTGTTTGATTTAGCCTGTCTCCATGTACCCACTGTGTCATTTATTACAAGGCCTTGAACAAATATCAAATTTATATACACAATCTCCACATAAAAATAACTGGTGTGAAACTTAAGAACTGTAGAACTTGCAGTCACAAATCCGGTTATGTGTGCATGCCAAACATATGAGCAAGCACACCCTGCAGTATTGATGCATATGTGTGCCATCTACTTATCTTCCTCCTGAAAGGCTTGACATTGTGCCAAAGCTCGTTGCTGATGAAGAATGTGATATGATGTAAGGGTTGAAACCTTCGCTCTGCATCAAAGCCAGCATGCAGAAGCTTAAATGTGTTGGCATCAACTCCGGTAGTGGCATTTCCTTGTTGAGGTACTGCATGACTTGCCTCATAGTTGGCCTTATGTTTGTAAATGGGTGAGAGCACAATAATCCTAGCTTTAGTGCTAAGCATGCTTCACCAACATCATATTTGCCTTGAAGCTTGATGTCCACTGCATCATTGAGTGAACCTTTACGCCAATGTTCAAGCACCCAGTCAACTAGCATGAGATGGCTTTCCTCCGTATCTTTCATGATGGGCTTTTGCCCACAGGTGACCTCAAGAATGAACACACCGAAGGAAAATACATCCGTGAATGGGGTTGCCTTGCCAGTGCGTGCAAGCTCTGGAGCTAGGTATCCTATGGTGCCAACAACATGTGTGGTTTCTGGGTCGCTACCATGTTCATACAACCTTGCAAGACCAAAGTCACCTATTCGCCCACTGATCTCGGTGTCGATGAGCACATTGCTTGCCTTGATGTCTCGATGTATGATAGTTTTCTCACACTCCTCGTGAAGGTAGAGTAATCCATTTGATACACATTTGATGATTTGAAACCGCTGAGACCAATCCAAAGTAGGCTTTCCATCTTTGCCATATAAGTATTTGTCTAGGCTTCCATTTGGCATATAATCGTATACTAAAAGAAGCTCACCTTTTCGCCGGCAATATCCCAGTAATTGGACAAGATTGCGGTGTTGAAGGCGGCCTATGCTAACAATCTCTGCAATGAATTCCTTCATTCCTTGTTTTGAGTCGTGTGACACCTTCTTCACAGCGATATTGAATCTTGATATAGGCAACACCCCTTTGTATACCTTTCCGAACCCTCCACCACCTAGTAGGTTCTTGTCTTTAAATCCTTCTGTGGCATCAAACAAATCCTTGTACGAGAACCGGTGCGGCCCATACTCAACCTCCCAATCTTCACATAGCTCAGCATATCTTAGATTCCTCTGTATGAGCAGAAAGATGGTAGCAGTTACTGCAAAGAGGAACACCACAATTCCTATTGGTAAAAGTATATGTAATCTCATGGACTGAGCCTTCTGACCAAGACGGGGCAGCTCAGAGAGTTTGGAAATGTCGATGGGTGGAGCGAGGCTGTCCATGCCAAAGCTCCAACCAAGCACATAGTGCTGCGCGCTGACTGTGCCTGTAGAGGATGAGAAGCCAATATATGCTGGACTAGTGATTACTGTCGAGAGATTAAAAGTGGTGGAAAGCAGTGGCCTCTCAGATTTTGCCAGATTGATGGGGGCCATGGTCACATTGATCTGTATGGCCTCTCTATCATAGTTCACCCACACTTGCATCGCCTCGTGGCTATTGAGTGCCAACCTCTCAAAGATGCCACTCTGATTACTGTAATAGCCAGCATCATGAGATTGCACAGAGTGAAGATTGTTGATGTTGATGCCGATGTGGTTGCTGTTGATGTCTTCTAAGTCATAATTTTGGATAGTGTCAAGCTCAACCGCAAAAATGTGGTTGTTTGGGTCACCATTATTCTGGTCACTGAAGAGGCCCAAGTACTGGGTTGGGAATGCAGCTGAGAAATTCCTGGTTGGTGCAATGAAGAAGGCAAGGCCATGACCACTCAAGTCAGGGTCGGTGGAGAGGATGGCAAACACAAACGATACAGAGAAAGACTGCACCGTGCCATCGGGAGATTTGTGGAAGCGCATGGGGTTTGGATGGAATGCATGGCCTTTAACCCGAGCTGTACCATTTGTCAGCTCGAGGAGACCGCTCGGCGTGATCCTGGCATTGCCATCAAGGGCGAGGTTGCTGCCGGTGAAGCCTGAGTATACAAATTGATCGTCCTCATTGCCAGTACTGCGAGCAGCAAGGCTAAGGCTTATGATCAGTTTGAAGAACATAATCTTCTTGCTAGGCATGTCTGCAATTCTGTATTTTGTGGATCTGCGATGTGGTTTGCAGCGGTGCACTTGCATCTACTTTGTTTGGCTGTTCATTATAGCGGAGTTGGGCTACTTGTAGTTACTTAGGCACCACTTGTTGTCTGAGTCTTTTGCATACTTTTCTTAGTTCCTTCCTTCGGGCTTGCTTCTTCCCAGTCTGTAAGGATGCATCAAGTAATATTGAAGATGAGTTTGACTGACAATGAGACATGTTGCCTAAGTCAGGAAGAAAATAATTAAAGCCGCCAAGGACTCATAGATCGGCACAGGAGTAAGTTTTAGAGAATCCAAGCACATCTCACATCATTTAGTTGTTAAATGTTTCTTTCAACTGAGCATTTTGAGCATTTTGTCATTGCTGGTAACCAATAGTCAAGCTATATTTTTCGTTGTTGTAATCTTGTACTCCCTCCGTTCCAAATTACTCGTCGCTGAAATGGATATATTTAGAACTAAAATACATCTAGATACATCCATACGTGCGACAAGTAATTTGGAACGGAGGGAGTAGGCAACTAGTGGTAGGGTTTCCAGTACCGTGGGTTTCTTTGTGTGGTTCAGCTGCTGCTTTCTGGTCCTTGCCGCCACAGGTTGTCAATGAACACAAATTGAAATGGCTGTTGACTTCAAGAACGCGTGCTAGCTGGTCACCCACTGAAAGCCAGACAAAATTTGGCTGATTTCTCTTATGTAGCAACGATGGGAATCCTATGCTATGGTGACGAGAAGACGACCTAATTGCGGTAGAAATGGTGGTTCATGAGTGTAACGACGATATATATTTTTTATTCCGGTTTCAGGTCAGCAGAAGTTTGTACTAAGTTTTCTCCACAGCGCAAATATCATCCAATTAATCGGTTCTTTTAAATAAAATTAGGGGTATCTATTGGCAGTTTTGTGTGTTATGATCTCGATTAATCTTGGAAAGCTATCCTGATGTCAGGTACTACCTTCGTTCCATATTAACTTTTTTTCTTCTTCAGTTTTTGGAGGTTACTTGTGGAATATATTTTCATGCAATTTTGTTGCATGTTCTTTTCCTCTGATGAGGACATCCCTGCTACTATTCGAGACCCATGACCCTCGTTGTTATTCAACTCCAGAAAACAAAGACTAGTCAGCTCGTGCTAGCCAATCAAATTATAAACTATTTTTATTTCTTGAAACTACTTTCAATATACTTAAAAATATGATCATATCTAGGTCAGATATATTTAAATTGCTCAGCAATGAAGAACCTAGCATGGATAAGAGGGATGCGCATTAGAGCTTCTTTGAATTCCACCATGTTAAAAAACCGGACTGGTGACCGAACCGATGAGCCTGTTTTATCGGTTGGACTGTCGGTTTACCGGTTCATCACTGGTTTTCTAGGCTCTAAAGAATATCTTTTGTTCACGTATACATTAGTAAGAAGAGATCAAATACATCCCCTAAAGAAAAGAGATCAAATACTTTTCAATCTCTTCAACGTTTTTTCGATGTAATTCAGTTTCTTCGACTTGACAACAAAGTTGTATGGGCAAGGTGGTTATTGGGCCAAACCGAAGGCCGGCACGTCTATTCACGGAGACCTGCGCTTCTATTACAAAAAAGGTTTTCGCCCCATTTTATATATAAAGCAACGATCAACAGCATCCGGTACAAACGCACACCCCCACAACACACACACACATATCCAAGGCAGGATACATAGACGCTAAGCTGAGCGACACCAACCCAAACACTACATGAAGAAGTGAAGCTGCATATGACGAACCGTGGGTTCCAAGCGGCGCCTATAGGAAGGAGACGACACCGGAGCTCCGCCATCGCCCGATCCTCGGAGCTCCGCCATCGCCCGAATCGAGGATTAGAGTTTCCCCTGGAGCAACATGACGGGCAATAAGAGCCGCGACGACGCCTTCAAGAAGGGAACCGGGCAGCATCAAGCCACGGGATTTGCCCATGAGCACCGCGGAACCACCACCAGGGCCGCCGACCCGGCATCCAAGACCTTGATACCACCTCACTCGAGATCTGCCGCAACCCCAACCAAAGAATCATGGGTGGCCCCCAGTGCCGAGACCCAATAGGCCGGCCAAAACTGGCCTCCATCGACCCATTCTGCGGCACCGGCGTGAGACGAGCTCGGTCCTGCCGTCGGGCGCGAGACGAGCATGGTCTTGCTGCCGGGCGCGAGACGAGCTCAGTCCTGCTGCCGAGCGCGAGACAAGGTCAGTCCAACTGCCGCGCGCAAGATGAGCTCGATCCCGCTGCTGGGTGCGAGATGAGTGATGGACCGCATCTGGGGGAGGACCAGCCCTTCGACGAAGATAGCGGCCGGACATCGCGAAGATGGCTCGAAGGTCGAACCAGGCCGCCTACAAACGATTCGAAGCCAGAAATCCAGCCGCCGCAACCCTCGCCGCAGGAGCCCCAACGTGCCAGATCCGCCGCCACGTCTGGGCCCCGTGCGACCCACCACCACCCACGCCGTCGGCCACGCGACCATCACCAGCACCGCCAGCGCGCCAGGTGACGTCGCACCGTGGTGCTCGACACCCACCCCGCGCCCCAGCCGGAGAGAAGAGCCCGCACCGCTCCTCTGCACGCGGGGAAGCCAGAAGGCCCCGCCGCCGCCGGCCCGGGCGAGCTTTGCCCGGCCAAGCCCTCTGGCGGCGGCGGGAGAGGAGGAGGGATCGGAGGAGGGGGGGCTCGGGGGCGGCTGCGCCGGAAGCCCTCCCAGCCGCCGCGCGGGGGCGGCGCAGGGGAGGGGGGGAAGGGTAGGTTGGGGGCAGAAAGGTCGAGCCGAGCTTACCACATGTGTTCTTTTCCTGCTGCAAGCATGCCATTTTTCTTTTTATTATGCGTGTTGGGCTGGTTCGGCCGCCTGATTTTTATCCATCGATTTGCAAAAAAGAAATAACAACTTATCCTTTATCATCGAGTACCATGCCATGGTGCTTACGCTAGGAAATAACAAGGAGAAGTACAAAAAATCTCAATGACATTTGATTGGCGTGGTGTCCGTCATGGACGGCGTCAGCAGCGGGCGAGGTTACCTGGCTACATACGGATGGGTGGACGATGACGAAGTCCAAGGGGGCAAGCGCGTGATGGTGGGGGTTGCAAACGTCCAGTAATGCCTGGGCGGCGAAAAAAGATGTACAATAGCAACAACGGACGAGGAGGGTGCGGTTGCAGAGCAAGGGGAGCAGAAAAGTGGTCCGGGAGGGGGATTTGAGTGGCCCGAGGGTGTGAGAGTCCTACGCGGTGAAGGTTCGGACGACCACAAACATCCTCCAATTTGTGTCCAGTTTGCAGGAATTCGGACAAATCGACGCGTTCGCAGATAAATACAGATCCGGTTAGATGACAAACTATGTCCGAATAGTTCGGTTCGCACACAGTCAAGCATTTTGAAGGACGGCATTGGAGATGCCCTACACTATCTGAATGTGTGCGGGCATTATAGGGGACGGTGTTGGAGATGCCCTAAATGAAGATGCATCTGCAATTCTTTGTTTTCCCTATTTTTGTCCATGTGCAATATCATGCAAATCAAAGAGGCCCTAACCATGACATGGAGCGGAGCCCCCCATTCCAACAGTTTGTACGAATGCACAACACTCTTGAACCACGCGTAGTACTTGCATATTTTGTACTCATTCAATTTTTGAAGAAATCGCGATACACACAACACAGACACGACTCTCTCGTAGAACTATGCATAGGCGCGAGACGACACGTCCGGGCGTACAAAGCACGCACACGGTTGGCGCCAAGGGAGTCCCCTACGAGTCCATCATGGTCTCGAACTCGTCGAAGGTGAGCACCCCGTCTCCGTTGAGATCGAACCTCTGGATCATGGCGCGGCAGACGCCGACGTCCCGGCTGGCGCCCAGCCGGCTCAGCGCCCGCCTCAGGCTCGCCGGCGTGATGCACCCTCTCCCCTCCACCAGGGGCGGACCCAGCCCAAGAATTCAGTGGGGGCCCAAGTGACTGGGGGCCCAAATGTTTGGCTAACTGGGGGCCCAACTAGTAAAATGTTGGAACTCAAAGCAGTAAAAATATAAATTGATTGGGGGCCTGGGACCCCACTCAGCTCAACGTGGGTCCGCCCCTGCCCTCCACCTCGTACATATAGCTGGCCAAACGGGCCGTGCTAACTGGGCCAGCCCGGTAGCACGCAGGCCCGGCACGACCCAGGCACGGCACGGCCCGGGCTAAACGGGCTAGGCCCGGCACGCGGCACGCCATGGGCCGTGCCTGGGCCTGAAGGCTAGGCACGCGGGCCGGCACGGCACAGCCCGTTTATGTTTTTTTGAAAAATATAAATATATATGTCCTATATAAATACCGAATACCCTAATATGTTTAATATTTTCATAGTGCATGCGTATTTTATTAGTGCTTGAATCTAAGTAGTAGTAGTGTTATAGTGTAGTCTTTGTATTTTTTATCCTTTTGTAATTATAGAGTATGTCTTGTATTCTTTTATTCTTTTAGATGGGAGTTTTAATGATGTATATGTGCTAATAAAACTCTAGATTTATCTCACATAATAGTCTACCAGATTTTGCAATTTTCTAATTTTTTTGGCTTTTTTTGCAGTTTTCAGAGGTATTGCGAAGAAAAAGAAAAAAATCGCGCCAGACGGCCCAGCGTCCTCCAACGGGCCGGCGTGCCTGGGCGTGCCGCGTGCCGGCCCATGTAGACTACGTGCCGTGCCTGGGCTGCTAGCTCCCGCCCGTGGGCCGGCACGGTACGGCCCGATTATT